CACCCTGGAGGAGGTGAGATCAGTCCAGTCTCAAAGAGGAACAGAGCTCGTACAAAGGTCAGCTCAGCACTTGGGATCACAGGCCTTTAATCCCAGCACTAGGGAGGTGGAGGCAGGAGTCATATGACCAGGCAGAGAGAGGAATATAAGGCAGAAGGAGACAGGAGATCATTGTAGTCTGAGGGTTCAGTCTGAGGTTTCGTAGAGACAGCATTCAGTCTGAGGATTTGTGGAGACAGGATCGCCCCTTCAGTCTGAGCACTGCTAGAGATAAGAACTCTCTAGTGACTGGCCACTCTGCTTCTCTGATCTTCAACTTTCACTCCGATAGCTGACTCTGGGTTTTTATTTTTAGACCAATTAGAATTCGCTCTACAAGCCAGTGCTCTTAACTACTGAGACAGCTCTCCAGCTCCAACCTTACTGTATTTCTAGTGACCCCTTACCCTCTTAACCTTCCCTCCTACCATGCCTGACATAACAATGCTTCCTTTGTTTCTACCTTCAAGTACCTTGTCCTTCCTCATCACACTTCCTGTCCTCCTCAGTGGCCTGGAGAAGCACGGATGACTGGCTGATTAGGCTCACGATAGATTCTTGGTCCTTCATTGGTATTGTGGACCAAGGGTTGGAAGCTCTTCTTCGTCCAGGCACTTTCTTGTGGCTCTGCTAATTCCAGGTGCTTCTAGAAGTCTAGATAATTGAAGCCGAGCTGCTGTGTCCAGGGTCCAGTTGGCAGGAAGAAGAAACACCTGGAGGAAGTGCACCACTCAAGGCTCTGACCTGACTGTGGCGGGCACGATCCTGCTCTAGACATACTGAGAGAGGCTGAGAGAAGCGGCCTGTGGCCAGGGACGTGAACTGTGATGGACAAAAGATGACCTTGTTCCTCACTCTGCGGAGAAAGCAGAAGCAACCCTTAGAGACGTTCTCTTCTCCATCTCTTGGTCCCAAGTGTGCGCACATGACAAGGACCGTCTCTCGGAATCCCCAATCAGAAATTGAGTCTCTACGCTTCCATAAACACCGCTGTCCCTCGCCCTCCTCACTATCACCTACAGTTTATGATACTGACCCACACACCTCTGTGCCCAGCTTTGAGACTGAAGTCTCCCCGCTTTGGTGCTCTGGCCCTATTCAGCTGCTCCTCTTCCTCCTCTGCTGCTGACTTCTCTCGTCTGTGTCCAAGCTTCCCACACACCGGTGTGCATCACCTCCTGCGGTTTCTTTCAAGCTGAGGATGTTAGTTGGCAAGTCTGCATTGGGGCCTAAGATCCCCATATCTCTAACAGACTTGCTGGTGAAAGAGATGTGGCCATACTTGGGGTAGCAAGACTCTGACAATGTATTTGAAGAATGAGTCTACCCCTTCTGAGCAATATACAGCTAGGCTGGGGAGTTTCCAACCTATTTCTTGTGCGTTGTGTGTGTGTGCTTATGTACATGCAGGTGGCTTGTGTGTACATGTGTATGTGGGTTGTTTATGCACATGCAGGTGGCTTGTGTGCACATGTGTACATGGGTTGTTTATGCACATGCAGGTGGCTTGTGTGTACATGTGTATGGGGGTCGTTTATGTACATGCAGGTGGATTGTGTGTACATGTGTATGGGGGTTGTTTATGTATATGCAGGTGGCTTGTGTGTACATGTATATGGGGAAGGCTAGAAGGACAACTTTGTTTATAATCCTCAAGTATTGTCCACCGTGGTTTTTTGTTTATTTGTTTTTGAGACAGGTTGCCTAGCAAGACCCAGGGATCCACCTGTCACTGCCTGCTAATCACTGGGACAAGAGCATGCTGCCATGCTGGGAGATATTGCATTCATTCTGAGGATAGAATTCAAACTATCCACTGAACTATTTCCCCAGCCCCTGGTATACTTTCCAGTTCAGTACTTCCGCCAATTTCAGAACTTTCCTTTCCAACTTTTTAGTGACCACATCTATTTGGCTGCCTTCAGCACCTCCAAAGGTCCAAATCTAAACTGCTCATCTTTTCTTTAAAAGCAGCTGTCTGGGAGCTGAGAAGATGACTCAGTGGCTGAGAGTATTGTCTGCTCTTTCAGGGTCCCTGGGTTCAAGTCCCAGTACCCACACAGCAGCTCACACCTGTCTGTCCTATTTCCAGGGCTTCTGACACCCTCACACAGATACACATGCAGGCAAAACACCAGTGCACACTTAAAAAAAGTAGCTGAAAAAAAAGAAAGAAAAAGTCAGATATTGGTGGTGCACAACTTTAATATCAGCACTCAGGAGGCAGAGGCAGAGGCAGAGGCAAATGAAATCTCTGTGAGTTCAAGGCCAGCCTGGTCTACCGAGCGAGCGAGTTCCAGGACAGCCAGGGCTACACAGAGAAACCCTGTCTCTGAAAACAACAAACAAACAAACAAACCCAAAACAAAACCAAGTAGCTGACTGCAGGGGCTGTCTCTGACTCTTTTACTGGCTTTTGGGGCCCTACTTTGAATAGTGGGTCACCTTGCCCAGTCTTAATACATGGGGTATTTGTCATTTTTTCTTTGTATATTAATTAATAAATAAAGCTTGCCTGAAGATCAGAATGCAAAACAGCCACAACTAGTCAGCCATACAGGCCAGGCAGTGGTGGCGCATACCTTTATCCGAGCACTAGAGAGGAATATAAGATGGGAGGAGACAGAAACTCACTCTCTTTCAGTCTGAAGATTTCATAGAAGTAACAGCTCAGGTTGAACCCCAGTATCTATCTCTGGGTTTTTATTATTCGTGCTACACATGGGGAGTGCATAGTCTTATAGCAACTTGATGCAATGTTTTGTTGATATCCATGGGATATCATGCCCTTTTCTGAACAGAAACAGAGGAGTGCATTGAGGGACGGGAACAGAGGAGGTGGGGGGAGGGACTGGAAGGAGAGGAGGGAGAGGAAACTTCAGCCTGGAAGTTAAATAAATAAATAAATAAATAAATAAATAAATATTTTTAAAATAGTAGCTATCTCCTTTCTAAGTATTATTTTCAAGCCCCTATTTTTCCTCTCTCTCTCTAACCCTAAGTAATCAAGCTGCAACCGCCGCATTATTTCTCAGTCATTTAAAGTTCTTTCTTGTCGTACCCCCTTTGGGTCCCTGATGTGGGATTTCCCTCTGGACGCTGTGATTACCATTGACAAATAAAGGAACTGCTTTGGGCCTGTAGCAGAGCCATAGGGGAACCGAGTTAGGCGGGGAAAATTAAGCTGAATACTAGGAGAGAGAAGGCTGACTCACAGAGAAGCCATGGAGCCCCACCAGAAGCGAATGCCCGAACTTTAGCTAGTAAGCCACAGCCACGTGGCGATACACAGATGAATAGAAATGGGTTAAATTAAGATATAAAAGTTAGCCAATAAGAAGCTAGAGCTAATGGGCCAAACGGTGATTTAATTAATACAGTTTCTGTGTGATTATTTCGGTTCTGGGCAGCGGGAACCAACAAGCGGCTCTCTCCTTCTACAAACTGGTGCCGAATGGGGGACAACTACATCCACAAAAAAACCTAAAGATTTTCTGGTCTACTGCTGAGCAGCTGGGAACCAACAAACAGTCTCCCTGCAACAGGTCCCCACATCAATCCTTCTGTGAGTTTGGCCTCAGACTCACTTTTTGGATCAGCTTCTCAAGTGTTAGGCTCACACTTCGACAGCTGTCACAGCCCGGTACTACCGTCTACCTGGTCTACATAGGGCTGTCCATTTTCCACCTCAGACAGTTGCTTCTCTTAGAAAGCAACAGCCTTCTTTTCTTCCCCCAAACTTCTAAGCCTAAAAAACAAAATAGTGCCTTAAATACCAACCCTTTCCCTTGTCAGCATGCCTCCCAACCTCTGGCGTCTTCGGTGTCCAAAGGCCCTCCACTTAAGGCCCCCCGAGGTCTCCCTGCAAAACTCCACCTCTTCCCAGGCAAATTGCAAATGCCTCTTCCCCCGTCACTGATGCTGCCCCACAGAAGCACGCAGTCCTCGGATCCCGCGTAGCTCTGTGTTTTTCCACATGGCCCCTCTCGTGGCTTGACATTTTCTTTGATTTTTATCTCTGAGGGCGAGGTTAACTCCAACTCCTCTCGCTTTGCCTGCAGCATCCTTCCGATGGAAGCGACTTGTGAGGGACAGCGTCAGGCAGGAACGCTGCAGCTCCGCCCTTAGCTGCGGGCTTTGGGTGAGCCGCTTAACTTTGCTTGCAAAACTAAACCGAGACCCGGTAGGTGCTTGGGGCGGCAGGACTGTGCGCTCCTCTTTCCCCCAGGGAATCCCAGGCAGCCCGGCTGTTTGTATCCCGGCACCGCCCTCCTCCACCGCCTAGAGGACCTCTTCCGCCCCCGGGCCTCCCGAGAGCCCAGGGATCACGCCGCGCTGCGCGGGCGGCGGCCTAAGCCTCGGTCCCGGAAGGCCTCCCACCTCGGCGGCCGCTCCGCGACCCCGACGACCGCGGAGCCGCAGCCATACGCGAGCCGTTTGGACCCTGCGCGGCCCCCGTAGCGTGGCTCCTCC